GGGTCTACTGTTATATCATATTTTGTACACGAATGACCTCAGGGAATTTTGTATGTACGCTTATTACTGTTCTCTAATCTTCAGCCAGGACACTGAACAATCACTTCAAAACAATCATTCATCAACCCTCAATAGCCTAAAACATTATTCTAGTGACTATTCCACTCTTGTTTTCGATAACCAATCAGATTCTTTTTATCGCTTGGAGTGCACGAGAGAATCGACCATTCTCATGTTTTCTTCTTTATTACAGCCATATCTTGTTTCCTAAATTGCATCGGACTTGCCCTACCAATGCAGAAGCCGAATTGTCCCATACGTGGCCAATCAAACTCGTTCTTCAAGGATGAAATATTTTGACATTTAGAACAGCAATCATAATGGAAGCTCAAATGATGGATGTATTGGGCGCAACTCTCGCGAGGCGCTCGTTCATTGTCTCAATCATGAAATATTCATACTCATACAACTCGTTTTATCATTTTCTTCTGGAAATACCCGTTGATTGATAGTTTCGTTCATAACATTAATTCGAAACTTCCCGTCTACTGCTCGAGAGTATTGATAAACAATGTAATTCGCGAAATTATCAGGCAACAAGCTGTCGTATCAATCGCCAAATATCTCCAGCGGAATAGTATTACTTTTGGTATCACATAATATGACAATGGGTTGATGTCGATCGAAAGTCTTTTCGTCGAATGTCAATTCGTCGAAATTCAATTCGTCGAAATTCAATTGGACGAATACGTCCGTTGGACTAAATTGGAAAGTTTTTCAGCAATAATCTCATCACTATCAGCCTTAAACTATTAAAAATTAAATTCAATGAAATGGTCTGCTTTGTTACACTTTATTTTTCGAACATTCACTGATTCGATACATTCAATTTTTGATCGGAAAAACATTATTTGAGATTATGAGCAATACTTCTCAGGTAATCGACAGGTTCAGTTCATTCAAACACATCTACAACAATTTAAGTCTCTTGTCTAGATCCACTCGTCATTTCCAGCCAACATCTGTTCTATTTTTCGTACAAAATATTGTTGTTTACTTCTTATTCCTTTCAGTATATACAAAAAAACAAACTTCCGAATCTTCTATGCCATACTTCTAGAGCATCATTCGATATAGAGAATGATGATTAAAATAAAACGATTCCTTTTGAGTTACTGTTTTTATTCAGTGGATGAATTTCTCAGTTCAAATATCTTTCTAGCGATCATTGATGAAGGAGACGTTATTTCAACTGAATTTTAATTTCTCAGTATTGTTTAATGTATTTTATATCGTATTTTAACATGTGATAACTATTTGTAACTTGAATGTATGTGTTGATTTTTATGAATTCGTATATTAATATTCATAGTTGAATTGTAATAATATGACATGCTACAAATGTACATCAGTACGTGAAGTGGTGAATAAGCTATCTGTCTATCTATCTATCTATCTATCTATAGGCAGATCATTCTTGACTCTTTCATAAAAATTCCAAAAATCAATAGCAAACATTGGTTTTCCACGTCGTCTTCCTCGTAAACGACCTATATACGTCTCGTCGAAGTTGTTTAAAACTGCGAATGCTTCTGGAGAAAAAACTTCGGATAGACATTCGAAATATGTTATAACATGTTCACATGGAACGAAAACCAGAGCAGGCATCATTTTGACTTCAATTGCGAACTGCATATCAGTCGCATATATACTTTGCAGTCCATTTTCCTTTATGTTCTCATAAACGTTATGGCAAAGATAGAACAAACATCCTCGAATAATAATAATCGTAAATGATACATCGAAAGCATTCATAGTTTCAATTCCAAAATCACATATCATGATAGACTGTAGATTCGGAAAATCAGATTGTTGTTTTGAAATATGTAACATAGTCATGTATGTTTGTTTCTTCTTTTTGGATAAGAGTGCGTATATCAATGGGACGAACAATCCCTTCACATATGCACGAAGAACTACTAATTTTTTTTTTGGGTTGCAAAAATCAACATCCTCTCGCCATTTTTCCTGAAATGCTGCACTAGGAAGTTATCACCGCTTAGGGTTGTTTTGTGTTCATCGGGTAGAACGAAATCATTCGATGTTGAAAGAGTCAATTCATTCCTGCTTCTCTCTTTCAAAACGGTTCTTTTCATCAATGAAGATGGTATAATCGCAGCCGTCTCAAGAGTCACAGAATTCAATAAAATGTGGCTTGTTGCATTCAATGTGTCTCTTGCAATTTTCCTGAAAAGGTTTGCTGCTCCAATAACTTCTTTCCTACGAGCATCTGGTTGGTGTGACTGCTCACCATTGTATACCTCGTCTCCGTCTATGGCAGAAATCATTGTGTGCTTTCGCTTTGCGAGATTTTTCAAACTCACATCTCCAATAGTTTTTTCATTTCTCTCTGAATCTCGAACAAACATATAGCCTTCGGAGTAAAGCTTCTTCTTGAGAAATTCGACAAATTGACCAAATTTAGTCCGAAATAGTTGTAATTGAGATCTCAATCACACTGATGGTGGCGTGCTGCGAGCTTAGACACAGCCTCAATAATATTTTTACTCAATATAATATAACAATAAATTCAAGGCTGGACTTGAAGAATCATATTGATAATCTTGCCATGAATGTAATGCATTCAAAATGTTATCCAAGAATACAATAATATATGCGGCAATGATTCTATACACATTTCAACGTATTTATAAATCACTCAGAAGATAGAAGAAGTATAGAAAAGAATACTAAACCGTACCCACCTATTTGAATAACATGATACAGGTTGTTGAAATAATCATTATACTCTGTAGTTTTAAACTCGTCTTATACTAGTATTGTTGGATCATTACTTACATGTGAAATAAATAACAGGTTATACGTTCTCGAGGCATTTATTGAGAGTTCGAACCTGATAACACAGCACTAATATTATTTCACTACACTCAATACAATTCACTGATAACTTCCACGTCCGATGTGCTGGAGAACTTGTTGCTCGTCCTCAGGAGAGATCGTACCAGAAATAAAGATATGTGTATTGAACTTGGTATAGAATACGTTTTGATGGTAGTAGTAAATCATAATGTGGTAATAATAGATCACTCAATTGCCTGATTGTGTTCGCTTTGTATAAAAACAAATCGAGGAGCTGCGCTTGACTAATAAACCGTTTAGTTCATTTTGCGAGAAGCAATGTCACTTCGTTTATTTCATCTGTAGCAGGCCTATATCTAGTGTTGGCATATGAAATGTAATATATGTGTCTTCGTCTGATATACTTATCTGAGAGGGACAGATCACTGCCGATCACCGACTCCGAGCAGGAGGAACATGGTAAGAGTCGCCCAGGATCTGCCGTTTCAAGAACGTCAACCCCTTCCAGGTTTTTCGAAATGGCATATTTACAGATTTGAAAAAGAGCAATAAAGCTTCCGTGGTTCCTTGTCCACGTGAACAGAAAGTACAATACAATGTCGGATTGTTGAAGGGTAGTGCTTGTGTTTTATTATTTTCGTGGTATTCGAAAATTTTCACTATTGTGTGGATATATGAGCACTATCTCTAGAACCTTAGATTCCTATCCGAAACAAAATGCCCCTCAACCAACTGAAGATGTAATGGATATGAAACTTAGAGAGTCAAACAACTTTCTCACGCAAAATAATCATTCTAGGGTGTTCGTACCAGTTTTGAATCAACCGCCTGTATAACCGGCATCGTAAGCACTGACGGTCATCAAGCTTTGATGCAAGAGGATAACCTTTCTTGCATGCTGTTCTGAATCTGCTGTTCTGATCATTTCTCTGGCCTCCATATGATATTTTGCTGGACCGATTTACTGAGTCCTGAGTTATGTAATTCTGGATAGTAGGGCTTCGAACTTGTTGATGATACTGTGATATGCGATGCATGATGCATGATTTGTAATTCATTATTTTTCATTAGTTTATAAGCCATTCATTCTTTTTTCAATTGGGTCTATCAGTCATAAACGAAAATGTTGCTTTGTTTGGGTCGGGCTTTTATGTATTACACCAACGAGTTCCGCGTGCTAATATAATAGTAGTTAGTCTATTGATGAAGTTAGGAAGGCTATATACAGTGTTCAATCAACGTGATCACGTCGAGGTTGAACGTCACATAATTTCCAACTAAGAATGCTAAAATATTGATCCTATTCGATATCTACCTTTTTATGTTGAGGGTATATATACATACAGTGCTAGTCAAAAGTCCCCTCCCCCCCTCGTATCTCTTGAACGGGTATACTTATAATAATGGCCTTGTGACGTCATTTATGACTATTGCGTCACCTGTTATGACCAGTTGAGAAGCCTACATCCGTTTATTTCCACCCTCCAAATTTCATTATTATAAGTATACCCGTTCAAAAGATACGAGGGGGGGAGGGGACTTTTGACTAGCACTGTATATAAGATGATATGCATTATATAACGCATCGTTTGATCATCCGTTTGTCAGCCGATTCACTTTATCTACTTCTTTTGCTCAGTCTTAAATAAATCGTTATTCTGGGAAATATTTTTTTTTTCTTTACGATGTTCATATCGCGCAACTATGAGACAAAATTGTTCTCATCTATGATAAAACAATCTTGGTCATAGAAAAGTAGTTTTGGTGAGTCAGCACTGGTCTTTGCTATCATTTGAATCAGTGATTTTGCCTGGTTTTTTGAAAACAAAACCTGAAAGAACTTGGGAATTCGCAATTCTGTAAGTTGGTGGCGGTCATTATTTTATAATTTTCAACATACGGTGTGTTTCGGTTTGACCCACCCTATATCCAACTATGAGGTTCGGAGCAATCCTGCTCGTGCATGTCGCGTCTGTTTTCCAGGGAATTTCCAAGGAAGGTACGGGGCAAACCAAATCAGTCCGACCCTGGTTGGAAACACGGCGGATGAGTTGCTAAAATATGAAATGAATTGCGACATGTTTTTATGTTTCTGATAAGTATTTGTTCTACTATAATATCAAATATCACGGAAAACGTTGGCATATATAAGTAACAGTTATCTAGCTATGGAGTACCTACTACAAGTCCCTAGGTTGAACAAACAGATTAAAGATTTGTCTACATATTTTGCTCGAAAATACTATACTACCTGCATCGTGTTCTTCGATCATTTTCGAAGAAAACGCTTAGAATAATTGAAATCTAACTCCACTTGGGGTAAGTTCGTTTGATCTTATACAGGGTGTCCGCAATGGTTATGTTGAAAATGATAGGGCTGATAGAGTGAGCCAAAATAATTATAGTACTTCGTAAAAAATAATAAATGTCTATCGCACTTCGTTATGGAGTTATGGACCTTGAAAGTTTTTGCAAGTCCATCATACAGATGCATAACGATTATTCATCATTACTCAACTCATCTATGCTATTAACCAATTATTGAATACTGTCAAAATGGTTCGATGTCGATTATGACAATTAATGCAATTGTCATGCTGTTATTGAATAAATAGAGTGTTAATTATCTTTGAAACGGTTGGGATGTATGTTCTTAAAGTGCGATTTCATTCAGAACGGTACAGGATATCGATTAAAATGAAGTATACTATTTTCAAACGTTGGAAGCAGAATGTGGAATAAGTGAGCTCAGTGAAGATAGCCTGCATAAAACGAAAAGAATTCATCACATCCTGAATAAAACATAATCACTGGGGCTTTGGAGATGGTCAACATAGAACAGTGAATATGTGTGACTCAAGCAGAGCTTTCGATTGTGTCTCTCACACAGTCCTTTTGGGCAAGCTCCATTTTTACGGTGTACGAGGAACTGCACTGAAATTAATTGAATCATACCTGGATGGAAGAAAACAAGCCGTTTATCTAAATAACTCATATTCAGAAATTGAGAATATCTCGCTTGGGGTCCCTCAGGGTTCTATTCTTGGACCACTTCTATTCAATATTAATATCAATGATATTTCTCATTATATGAGTCCAACAGAATGTGTCTGTTATGCAGATGATTGTACTCTTTATGTGTCTGACAAAAGCATTGACCACTTGGACAATATTGTCCAAGATTTCTCCACTAAAGCTGAAACGTGGTTCATATCTAACACTTTGAAACTCAATCACACAGTACAAAAGTTGAGCTGCTTGGAATTTTCTTGGATGACAAATTGAAGTGGACAGCTCATATCGAACATTTAAATAATAAATTAAGCTCAAATATTTTCCTGTTGCAAAGATTGAGTAGATTTGCCTGCCCAATAGTTTTGAAAACAGCCTACTTTGGTTTTGTTTATACTCATATCAACTATGGCGTAACTCTCTGGGGAAACGCAGTTGATTCCATAAGAATATTCAAACTACATGAAAGAGCTTTGAGATTGATCTCGAAAGTTACGTATAGAGAGAGTTGTCGTCCATTATTCAAAAATCCATGTATCTACATTCTTAATTGTTTGCTGGAAATTCAAAAAAAACAAAAATAATTATCAAGCAAATGATGCCTTTCATAATTATACAAGAAATTGTGATCTGTTTCGTATAACTAATCACCGTTTAATGATATCAAAACGTAACTCCACAGATGTTGAGCTTCATTATAAACTTTCTGCAAATATTAAGGAAATACCTATACATTTATTCAAAAGAACAATCCGGAAGTTTTTGTTATCCCACTGCTTCTATTCGGAGAAGGAGTACATGGAGGCTGAGGTAGACTTTACTTGAGCAAATAAAAATGAATTAATAAATAATAATAATAATAGAGACAACGACCATATCATTGAGAAGATATAGAAAACCAAAATCAGTATATAATAGCATATTAACTTCCACACACTACATTCCCACCTATATCACTGGAGACCAGGCTTCACCCATCATAATTTCAAAGTGTAATTTTGTATTCTTTCTGTATTTGTTTTTGTAATTTTTTAAATATTCTCTTTCGCCCGTATTACTGACTAATCACAAATGAAATTGATTTTTTGTGACGTGAATGAATAAATAAATAATAAATAAATAGACTCACTGACCAGTCGTTTACATATCGGAAGGAGCATTACCATGGCAGCTGTTTTATATGAAATACTGACATTATTTTGGCTAACTTCATCAGGCCTATCATTTACGACATGATCTTTCCCTGACACCCTGTATGATACTTTATTTACTTTCACACATTATCAACTTGATTCCAGTTTGGTAAATAACCAATGACCGTATTGAGTATACCATAATGATAGTTTCACAGGACTAGTCAAGTAATAGTAATTTACGTAACATACTATTTATTTTGTCGAGTAGATGGAATTCTACGCTGAACCGTAGGCGAGTCCTGAAAGTCCGCGGGTCCAAAAAAATTGTTTTTGGGCGTGTTGCGTACACAATTTTTTCGGCATCCATATGTAGAATAATAATTCAATGAGACACATTTCCATATTATTTTTCTTTGTGGAATACAATTTCATCTTTATTGATTCTCATTTTTGTATCAAATACTGAAATTTGAACAGAAGACCGAAGACCTATACCTACTAGCTGCTACAGTATGGACATTTTCAAACTCACTATCGCTGCTACTTTCCAAGATTTTTATAGTTACAGTGACAACAACGATGTGGTACTTCCCGGCCTATTCCGGGAAGTACTGACTTCCCGGACTTGGTCGAAAAAATTCTACTCTTCTCAAAAAACATCGTCCGAGAAGTGAGCAACACCCGGACGGTTGCCGAAAAAATTTTTACAGATTTTCATTCACAATTATAATGTTCAATTTTCACTGAGAAAAGAACTTCTATTATTTGTAGTAACGAGATGACAACTTTATGGGTATCAGATGTCCACAATGATTCTTTAGGAATTGATGAATTTTCTTGTACAATTTTACAAAAGATAGTTTCTATATGCGAATACATTGTCGAAATAATGAATTTCAAATATGGTCCGCGTTTTTATGGACACTAGCTCACAGTATGAATTCAAATCAAAATCTAGAAACATTTATTTCATATGAAATTGTTCATAATAGTTACTCACGTTTCTTGTTAGTTATATACAGTATGAAATACGTACGTCACACGTCCGGTAAACTTTTTCCAGTACTCGTTTCGATATTCCCGGACTAGGCGACTGTAAAAATGTATTGACCGGAAGTAAATAACTATTATCTGATTGCCTAACAAATATATTTCATCCAACATCGCATGAATTTCAACATCACCATTATCTATAAATGATCGTAGCATTGATCGCTTTTCAATAAGGACGGGTCGATAATGAAATTGAATGAAACAAGGTGTGGGTGAGGTATCAACGAAATTCTCCTTTATTTGAAAGGCCTATGTATGCCATTATGTATGGAATATAACATCGTTCAATTGTCCGCCGCGGCTTCTCACGGTTGCACATATCCGAATTGTCCAATTTTCATTGACTCTGGCCCATAGATCCGGCTGAATTTCAGCGATAGCATTTGTTATGTTGGCTTCAAGGGCATTGGTCGATTGCGGTTCATTTGCATAAAGCTGCGACTGCAGGAAACCTTCATGAAGAAGTCTATCGGGGTCAAATCGCATGATCTTGGTGGCCAATTCACGTCACTCCTGTGAGACAGTGTATTGCCAACTAAGATTTCCAAAAGTCGCGAATTGGCCACCTGAAAAACACCGAAAAGCCAACTGAACCTAAAGGAAAAGAAGAAATTTTTTTGCGAATCGAATGATTTGCTGGTGATTGTAACTTTAGTTCAGATTACTAAATAACACTAGAGTCTAGGTGGTCAACAGATCTTGGCTTAGCGATATATGTATAAAATAATCGAGGTCAGGTGAAAATAGTAGATTGTTTTATTAGGATCAAAAGTGACACTTTGTTTGACAAGCGAATTTTGCATTTGCGAGGCGGAGCGTTTAGCGAAGCCGAGCGAAAGCAAAATTTGCGAGTCGAACAAAGTCACTTTTGATCCGAATGAAACATGCTATTTTTTCTGCAACCGAAACAATTAACTCAAATAAACATGTGAAGTAACCACCAATGCCGTGCCATAGGGGAAATGTGCCTGAGTTGGCATACATTTTGTAAATATTTTATTTTTCAAGTTATTTTTGAGATTTACGGGCTGAAACTTGGTAGTTGAATAGGAAAATACCTAGCCTAACAACAACAAAAAATTAATAGAACCCTAACTGTGTTTTCAGGTTGAGTATATATATTTTTTAAATCACCTCGCTATGCCATCTCGGGCTGAATATTCCGGGTAAGATGGCATGGTATGCCATCTTGCCCAAACTGGACTTACTTGAAGTGAATAAATATTAAATGAGATGTCATTGTCAAAGTTCATTCAATAAAAAATATAACGGAAATGTAACGCTCAACTTATACAGTCAGGTACAATGATAAATACCTAAAACTAAAATAAACAGAACTCAAAAATATGAAAAACAAATATTATTAATGAAAAAAGTGAAGTTTGAAAAGAATAAGGAGTACTACTTGAAAGTTAAACACAAAGTTCACAAATATACTGTTAGTACTTTCCAACCATGTTCACTTAAATGTGCAACAACAAAATAACTTATTGATTTTGTTTGTCGGGCGAGTTGGCATACTATGCCAACTAGCCCGAATCAACAGTATGCCAACTCGCCCGAAAACGCTTTTCAAAAAATAAGACCTATTTACTCACAACCAGTTACGACATAGCAACGGTTATACCGTAGAATTTCGAGGTTAGGTTCACAAAATCGATTTACGTTTGTTGGATTTCAAAAAGATATTGGATGTTCATGTTTTGCAGCAAGTTATAAGAGTAAATTAAACATTTCTTACCTTCAAAATAACAAAATTGCCATAAACTTTTTTATTTATTGTCGGAAGTAGCCACAAACACATGTACCGGCTTGCACACAATAAGTAAACAGAAGGAGAAGGTTAATTACGCCGCAAAGTTTTTAGAAGCTGAGAAAGTACCAATATGCCAACTCGTCCGGTATGCCAACACAGGCACATTTCCCCTATGTATGCAATGCAACAAATATTGACAAATAATCCATGTGGTGAGAATATTCTACCTGCATTAACAGCAGGTTAGGTTTTCTAGGATGTTCGAATTGAAGTTTCAATATAAATACCACCACAGAGTGACATATTTGTGTATGGACCAGGTGCTCTAATGGCAAACACCGCGCTAGAGCCATCAGCTATAGGAACAAGACGTGGAAAATTTTAGGTTAGTGAGCATATCAACAATGATAATAGTGATTATTTATATTCCTCTCCATACTTCACTGTGTTTGATGATCGAATGAAGCTAAACAATATCGTTGTTTGAGACAAAAAAACTTTTGCTTGGCTTGCCGTGATTATTCAAAAACAAGTTATCCATCCCGAGAATAACGAATGAAATACAGATCAAGCAAGTATTTGAATCTTGAAGGCTTTCCTGATCAAAACAAAAATACTTAACTGAGATGTTTATAATTCCAATACTAAACTATAATAAGGTGTATTTATATCTCCAGCATGGGTATGAAATGCCAAATCTGCTGAAATCGGAAACAAATCAGGTATGCGTCTCAACCCAGATAACCAACCGTCACAATGTTGTTTATTCTTGATGACTTCCAGTACATCATTTTTAGTTCCTAGGAGCTGAAGTTCAACTTTAGCTCCTAGGAACTAAAATTTAACTTTAGCTCCTAGGAACTAAATATGTTGCCTAGCAACATACCTATTTTTGTGACAGTAATAGAAACGTCAATTTAAGAGCTAATTTTGGTATCAAAATGGACGACTTTTGTGTCGGTTGCAGAAAAAAGTTTTTTTTTTGTGACAGGAAAAAAGTTTGATATTTTATGTCTGTTGACAGGTTAGGCCTCGGTTGAAATCTAATACTAAAAACTAAATAAATTCTTTATATCATTAATGACATACATATTCAGTATATGGTACATATTGAACAACAAATAAAAACACAACATATGAGATCGTACAACAACAACCAAAATGTAGACATACCGTTAGAATCTGATTTCAGTTAAAATTAGTTTTTTTATGAAAACCTTTCTCTAGCGGAATTTCTGGTGCAGGTCCTGAACCACCAGATTTCAAAATTTCTTGAAAAAATCCACCAAAATAAATACCATCCACTAGATGCAATACGTTGTCACAAAACGAAAACTCAATCCACCAGTTCTAGTTTGGAATCCACTGAGTTGACAACAATGTTGTGAAAAATAAGTACACCCTCCACCCTCAAATCGTTTATGCAGAATGTCCATCGTAGCGTTAGCTGTGAGGCACGTAGCCCCATCCTGCTGGAACCACGTGTCCTAAACCTCCATATCGTTCAATTTATGCCAAAAGAAATCAGTTAGCATCGTTCTGTAGCGCTCGCCGTTGATGGTGATGGCATCACCAACGTCATTTTCAAGTACGCACCAATGACACAGCCAGCTCAAAATCCGCACCAAACAGTAACTTTTTTTGGATGCATTGTCACTTGGTGAACCTCGTGTGGGTTGGAGTCGTCCCATATACGGGAATTTTGCTTATTGACATAACCATTCATTTCGATAATAAAGTTGTATCATTTGGACGTACTGTTCAGCCGTGTAACTTGCCATGGTGATTTGACATCGTGACTGATTAGTAAACATCAGATAAAGGCTATATTCCGAAATCAACTGGTCAGTACTATCAGTAGATCCACTAACTTCCATGAACCTTTCAACTCACAATCTGGTGCATCATGAAATATGAATAGCAATAAAATGTCCAGGTATGCTTCCTCACTCGAGCTTGATTCGTCATTGTCAACAATCGTAGAAACTTTGTACGCTACAAGAATTGATTGCTCTTCCATATTGAATATTAAATTTCCAAAATTTATATCAAGCAGGAGGCTGAATATCTAGTTCAGATAAACGAGAAACTAACTACAGACTAACGAATTTCAGCAGTTGATCAACTGCTGCTGACCACTGTTGAAAACCATGAAAACGTGTTCCGAATTACAGCACTCTATTTATGATTTGAAATTTCGGAACACAGATTTTCAGCACAGTCAGTGGATCTACTGACGCTACTGACCGCAGTTGAGTTCGGGATACAGCCAGTATATCTGCTCAAAAGCGTCTGTCACATTCAGTGATTTTTTTGATTTCGGAATGAAGAATCAGCAGATTCAGTACTGTCAGTTGAATTCGGAATATAGACTAAACAGACGCAACCAAAACAACATGGCCGCCACAGGCTGCCAACATCGAACCGTCCCAATTGAAAAACCTTATCGAAACACTATACTGTATTTTAGCGACAGCAATCACCGAGCAAATGGACTCTAGGGGAAAACATGTGGTTTTTGTGTATGGTACCCTTAAAAAAGGAGAACCGAACCACTCGCGCTTTTCGAAAATCACTGGAGGTTCCTACAAATTCCTGGCTGATGCGAAAACCAAAGAAAAATATCCTCTCATCATAACAACCAAATATAACATTCCATTCCTTTTAGAGAGTCCAGGTCAGTATACTTGACAACTTATGGGCACATACATTCAACTCCTTTTTGTTTCAGGAAACGGCACACATGTTAAAGGAGAATTATACGAGGTGGACGACAAAGTACTGACAGATCTAGATGTTCTTGAGGATCATCCGAATTTCTACACAAGGAAATTGTATGACGTCCTAACATTGGATGGCCAAAATATATCTAAAGTTTGGATTTATATGATTGAACAGTTCAAACCAGATTTACTCAATGAAATATTCTATGAAAGCTATAGCAGTTTAGGAAATCACGGGAAAAAATTCGTGGAAAGGTATAACTACTCTAGAGATATAGTACCTATGGTTTCAGAGAACTATAGCTACTGCATAGAATTTTATAATTGATGAGTTTTTTCATTGTAGGGAGAACTACCCACTGGAAGAATTGAATTTGAGATGAAAATTTAGCACAACATGCATGGATTTTAGATTATTTATGAATTTTGTGTTTGGTGCTGAATAAAAATAGGTGATATAGTTATTCAAATTCTTTCAGAACCTAAAACAGCAATAATATAATCAAAACAAGAGTGAGATACGGATTCCTCATTTTATGGTGAAAAGATCTTATCAACGTATGTCCTGAAATGCATCTTCTCGGAGATATAGGATATTTATACACTATACTTTTTCTACGACTGTAACAAATAACAGCGGAATTTTCATTTCTTCGGCCTTAAAGACCACGGAATGATTGATCATACGAGTGGAAAATTAGCATTCCGTATGAGTTATACATATATATACTTTCTCTATGACTGTAACAGATAACAGCGCAATTTTGATTTCTTCGGCTTGTAAATTAGACATTCCATGGGAGATGAGATTTTGTGGAAAAATAACACGAGGAAGTCATTGTGATATCAGATACGTAATCCATCAGAATGAAAATCTTCAAACCAGCAATCTAACAGAACAATCTTTTTTAGGAATCGTATTTATCTTTACCGTGAATGCACATCAGAACCATAATACCCCGTATTTTGTTTCTATTTCCATTCTGAATTTTATGTTTCAACATGAAATTCAAAATGGAAATAGGAACAGGAAAGGCAATTTCCTTAAATTTGACAATAAGTAAAATTTATGATAGACACGATTTTACATAAACCTTGTAACACTGATATCACTATTCATGATAATTCAACACATCCTCATCAACATAAAATTGCAGCATGATACACAGGCTAGTGACTGTCTGTCTTTCGGAAGTAAATTTCAATAAAGAACTCAATATCATGAAACAGATTGCAATCGACAACGAATACAAAGTCAATTTGATAGACAGTATTCTTTTTAAAAAAATTCCATAATAAAGGTATTCAAGAAGTTTATCCTACCATCAAAAATAATAATCAAAATTATAGAACTCCAACCCATTTCGTATCATAACTATCAACACTATAAACAGGACTCAAAAGTAGTATAAGATTGAACAAATAACACGTTGGTAAGGTTTATCCAAACTAATGAGGACACAACTTCTAAATTCAAGATTATAAAAACTCGATTGTGAATCTTGTCCTAGGATATATATCGGTCAGACAGGTCGTACGTTCAAGCAGCGCTTTCATGAACATAAGAAGAATTTTTTGAAAGAGAAAACAAATTCGACATATGTCAACCATATATAGGAAGAAAGCCATAGCTTTGATGATAATTTCGGATTTCTACACGTGAAAAATTAAGGAATAAATCCCAATCATTTTGAATCATTAGAAATCAAAAAAGTCAAAAATTTCAACATTTTACTCAATTATCAACTGAATATTTCACCACTGTTAAATTGCCTCTTCACTCTTCATATAGTTTTCAATATTTTTCATAGGCCTTTCTCAGTCAATTTTTCTCTTTCCTTCTTCCCTAAAGCCCAGCCTCACCATAGTGCGGAGAGGACAAGCCGAGGCTGCTCGGCAGATTGGGCATTTTGGGAACATCTTCGGTCTTATCACTAAGATGGGACAGTTTTGTGGACATCTGAGTGCAAGGATGGAGCGATTTGTGAACATCTGCTTATGTGGCCGCGGATTGATAACGAAACTATGGCAACCTAATCCAAGTTGCGGGAACCCGAAACGAGAGATGAATGGCACCAAGGTTATATGTTGTCGATAACGGGACCTCTGGGAAACAGGGCGCCATCTCACAGTAAACAGCCTTAGCCCAGTGCAAGGGGCACCACAGGGCTGGACCAACCCCTTTCTCCATTACTCGAGAAGTAAAACTTTAGGCCTTCTTCATGGACGCGACCAGGGCTCGGAAGAGTAGTATTCAGGAACCTGAATCAAAAAAGCCTCTCAATCGAACCTCTGGTACTGTGAGCAGCAGTTCTCACAGTGACTGTGGTGGCATTTGAAGTGGCCCTTATATAAGAACCATGTGTCGTATATAGTAAAATCATAACGGCATATTGGAGGTAAAATGAAAGAATACTTCAGTCAGACGAGCCTTGAAAGGAGGTGGAGTTTTTAGTGGGTACACCTACATGTAGGGATTTCCATACTATCATGAAGGGAACGGCCCTTCGTGGTGTCCATAAAGGATTTTGACCAGCTCCGAACAACAAAAAAGCTCGGCAATATCACGGCAATAACCCAGCATGAAACTATGGCAATAGGTGTACATAATTATGGAGCGTGTCCTCCATCTCGGATTCAGGTGGAATATGGCCTGATGATTACGAGTCTGTCGATGTACGGTTTTACCATATTAATTTACAGTTCTAAAATCTTGTGAATCTGCACATGTGCTGTTCTGACTTTTTGTTATCCTGTCAATGAAAGGTTCAAAAATCTTACTATTCTGTCGAAAACCGGTTTGTTGTTTTTCGATTCTGACAAGGTACGGTCTGCTAATGACTCGAATATGATATCAGTTACTCGTATTTGTATAAAAATTATGTTGTGTGTATCGGCGAGATGTAAGCAAACCAAGAGAAACTTGATAGCGATGTAACAAAATTTTGCAAATTCAGCTTCACTTTGTGAAGTAACATATATTCAAGTTTTTTTTTTTTCACCCAACATGAATCTGAATAACAAATTCTTGACAATTTCTATGAAATACGGAGTCCTCATGTGTACACCGCAGCGATGCAACATTGGTGATATTGCAGTGTTGCCTCATCACGACATCTCAGAGATGTTATGTCGCAGATGTGTTTGCTTATGAACATTGCAGCGAAGGAACGTTTGTGATATCACACTGTGACCTAAACGCGACATCTCAGAGATTTCATGCCACAGATGTGTTGGCTTGCTTATCTCTGCCAATTTAGCTGTCGATAAAAATAAATTCCGTTCCTTGAAGAGGACTCTGACCCATAATAGTGAATTGTCTTTGTAAACCTACCATATTATGAGTCCCGTCTGCTCTGATCCATGCTAGCCTTCCTATTACCGAACGAAACTATGCTGATATAAAGACACGTCGAATTTCCTTTAGCGCCGACACTACACTACACACTACATCACTTTTTAACGGAACAATCTCCATTTCATTCCTCCATTGTGCGAAGTAATGAATACGTTCTAGGCTACGCTGAGGGTATAAATCTAGCGGGTCGTACGAGCACGTAATAAATATCAGACGTAAATGTATCCAAACTGCCGTCCTCCACCACTGTAATATCCGTGTAATATATTCTCCAAAACAAGAGTTTATAGCTTAACGAGATTAAACTGGTAAACAACTAAAAATCGGGGCAAGTCTCGAGGAGATGAGCTTTCTGAGCTATTTAATATTGATAGGGTAATTTTGACCGACATTCTTTCTATTTTGAGGTTGACTCTTTGGTAATGGAAAAAGAGGATGCTATGAATTATTGTCATCGTCATTTGATGAGGTCGTTGATACGACGGAAGGCCACTAAATTTTATTTTATCACCAAGTCTGAATTCCGACTTTCTTCTCCTAATTGAGAATTTTTTCTATGAATTCAGAATTATTTCTCTGGAATGGATTTTCTTGATTCAGACTTCTTGTCTTATGTGTATACCTATGTGTATGGCTTCGTCACCAACCTTTGTGATTGGGTTACCAGATCCAAATTTATATTATTGAGCGTATTCGTAAGTGAACTTATTTCTATAACTCTAGAAGATCTTTACTGCCACTTGGGAAATGAGAATCATTAGAGGAGTCTGGTCTGGCATGAAGCAAGAGTATCGTCTTCATCAAACTTCAGGGCTGCTAAGTTTTCCTGGTTGCGTCTGCTTCTCAATCCTTGTTATCCTTAGTATCATCCACGATATAGTTTGTTTTTGTGTCCTTCAACTCTAAAAGATTGGAGTTTAAAATACAATGAAAACGTCTAGTCTCTGTTAATAAGTGATATACGATAATATATTTAAATAGATTCAGATTATCTTTATTCAAAATTCATTGACAATCTATCTCTTGTCATCTGGCCTGACGTTGTTATGTACAGTAAGATACTTAACAATATATTTTATTTTAAAAGATAACTAGATTATCTAACATCTCCCTTTTCAACAAATACTTAAACATTTTCTAAAGTAACGAATCTATGTGGAGGCTTAACAATTCGGCCACTTCTAGTTGTGACACTACTATGATCTGCCTGACTACGATCTGCCTGTATATCTAATCTTTCACCCTCATAATCTTGACTTGTTTCATCGCTTATCTCTTCTTCATTCATCTTCTCTTGATCCAAACATTTCTCATTATTATCTTCTCTAATTCTTATAAAATATTTTTCTCTATTCTCATTTTCTTCTACTTCCAATTTTGTGTGTGATGAGGGAGAAGGATTGAACACATGATGGTTTGTTTGATTAAATACTTTGATGAATTTTCTATTTCGAACATACTCTGAACCATCATCTGTCCTTACAAGGTATACTCCTTCACATTCACTGAAAATTGATCGAAATCTTTCATGAAATACTTCAGGAGCTGACTTTATACCAAAAGGCATCCTCAAAAATTTATATCTGCCAAAAGGAGTACCAAATGTACATAGTTCTGAACTAGTTTTATCTAACAATATTTGATAAAATCCACTCGTAGCATCCAGACTACTGAACACTTTTGCTCCATTCAACTTACAAGTGATCTCATCAATAGTTGGAATTTGACAATATTCTCGTTTGATTACTTTGTTTAAGTCTTTTGGATCTAGGCAAACTCTGATAGAACCATCTGGTTTTTTTACCAAAACAAGAGCATTTACCCAGTCACTAGGACCATTCACTTTTTCTATTATTTTTTGACTCTCAAGATTTGCTAAGCAATCTTTCAATTTTGGTAGCAACGGTAATGGAACTCGCCTGATAGGATGTACCACTGGTGTAGCACCATCAATTATTTTAATATGATATGGGTCACGTAAACACCCTATTCCTGAAAATATTTCTCCATACTGATTTAAAATGGAATCATAATTAATTTTTTCAGAAAGGTCATCAATTTTATGAATAATATTCAACATTTGACAAGAAGGCAATCCCAAAATTGCTTGTGTTCTAGTTTTTACAATGAAGAAATCCATCGGAAATG